AAAGGGGGTCTTTGTCTCAGCTGCAACAGTGGGAGGGGGGGGGGTCAACAAAAGGAGGAGGAGGAGAAGGGGGGTTTTGGTGTGTGATTCAGAGCATTAATTTGATCTCATTTGTGGCAATATTTCCCAACATATTGATATCTTTCAGAACTGTCTTCCTCCCATAAAGGCTAGATCTGTGCAGTATAGAATGATTGTTGAGGGATGGCAGGTCTTCATAGATTCCCAGTGGTCTGATGCTCCTTTTATTTTAATATTATTGCTGCTTAGCTCCTTGGGATGTTTAAAGCAGGGAAATCTTTTTGTATCCAAATCCAGCTTTAAACTTCTCCACAGCAGTATGTTGGACCTGCCTGCTGTGTTCTTTGTTCTTCATGAAGCTCTGTGCTTTAAACAGACCTCTGAGTCGATCCCAGAGCAGGAGCATTCATACTGAGACTTGATTCTATGGATCATCATCAGTCCTTTAGGGCAACATTAGATCATTCAGAGATCATCACTGAACTTCTGCAGAGAGTTTGATGCACCGAGATTAAAGAGAAATAAAGGATTCTGTTCCACTTGTCATTGATTTTTCACAAAAAAGAACATTTTATATCTTTGTTTGAAGCCTGAAACGTGGCAAAAGCTCCAAAAGTTTAAGGGAGCAAATAGGCATTGTATATTTTAAATCTATCACCATTTAAACTTTTGTCATTTTTGAAATTACTGTTATTGTTTTTTTGGTCATCAGTAGTTAGTCAATGCATCTGGTGCATCCTCTGTTTCCTTAGCGGATAAACTAGAAAGTCTATATCTGCTTTAGCCAGCTAGCAGGTCAGGATAATCTCTGGATCCAACATGTTCCTTTTCTCCTACCACAATAAAAGCACTTGAACACAACACACCTTTCCTAATCTCATGAAGGCAGCTGAAGTGCCTAGAGGCAAATGTACGAATTAATTGATTTTATATTGTTCATTTGTCACCAAAATGGGATATAAAATGGTTTAAATCAAGAAAGTCACATCAAAGCTTGGTCTGTGCAGCCAGTTTATCAAAAAGCTGCTCCTGAGTGTTTGTTTCCCAGCAGTCCCTCCACGCTGTGTTAAAGTGGGTTTTCCCTCGAACCACTGTGGTAATGCGGTGAGTCACTCAGCCTTTGAACTCTCACCTTTTCTCTGTGGCAACTTTATTAAGGGTCTAAAGCCTGAGTGGTAAACAGCAGCACATACAATATTACACTTCTTTTTTCCATAAGGTTCATTTAATGTAGTTTTTCTCTGAACTATCTTTACAGTTTTTCTTTACATTACAGATTTAGGTCATATTCCAAGCAGCGCTTTCATTTTACATAAAAATAACACTTTCTCCTTGGATTGTCTTCTGATTAAACCAGGCTGGGATTAAGCCAGGCTTAGTAGATTAAGCCAGGCTTAGTAGATTAAACCAGGCTTGGATTAAACCAGTCTTAGGTTCTCATCTCTATAGAAACTGTTTCTTACAGGTATTGTATAAAATATCAATATAACTTTCAACTGATCTGATGATTTAATGACCTAAATAGATGGATTAAAACTATATGTGGCTTATTGTGTTTATATAATTAATTATTCAATTTTAAGGAGGAAAAGGGTTTTTGAATTAAAAAGGTGGTTTATTTTGTCGATTAAATGGTTTTGGATTAAAATGCGATTTATTCAAGTCCCACCATGGATGTAAATATGTTTTTCAATCCTTTAAAAAGATGTTTAATATTTCCCATTTTCTACCAAGGATGAATATTCTTTAGTTTTCTTCCTGTTTTTGGTTTCATACGGTAAAGATTCCCTGTTCTGACCACATGATGGTGTTGTTGTCTCACTTTTACTGGCTGTAAAAGTCTGGCCATGTGTTCCAGGTCTACATCCCTCAGTCTGAGGAAGCGGTTGACTCTCCATCTGAGCAGCCTCTCGGCTCCATTTCTAAACTCAGAATCAGAATCTGACAGAATCAGACATACTTTAATAATCCCAGAGGGAATTATTAAAGATCACATCCTTGTTATCTTTAAAGGAATGATTTGATCCTGATGTGTTTGTTTTGCAGTCTGCTGCTGGTGTCAAAGTTCTTCGAGCATCACCCGATCAGCCAGGAAGAGGTTTCCTCAGAGGGAACCACCCCTGTATCTGAGCTCTGTCCATCGCTACCCCCTTCAGAATCCACTGGGTAAGCGCCTCTTTAACTCAGCTGGATATTTAGGAGTCAGCAAACAGGCTTAAACTGGAAGCGGTGCAATAAAACCTTGATTTTTCTTACTCCAACCATTGGCCTCATTGAACTTGTGTTTTCCTGTAGGTCTAGATCCTGTATTTCTTTACTAGCAGCTTTGTGTTAGTCATTATTTTATTGCAATGCACCAAATATTCTGTCCCTGCCTAGTTTAGGGAGGCAATAAACGTCCCTCAGCCCAATGCTAGGTTCAATTCTATTCAGTTTATTTCTATAGCGCCGATTCACATCATGTCATCTCAAGGCACTTTCCAGTTCACCAGATCATCCAGTCAGATTGATTCAAAGTTTTCTATCTAAGGAAAACCAGCTGATTGCATCGACTCAGCAATCCCTCACACTAAGCATGCTTGCAGCGACAGTGGAGAGGAAAAACTCCCTTTGAACAGGAAGAAACCTCCAGCAGAACCAGGCTCAGTGTGAGCGGCCATCTGCTGAGTTCAAGGAGACAGAAGCAGACATAGAAAAAGAAGCATAGATACAAAAGGCAACTGTAACACACAGCCAGGCAGATGAGCTCTGAGCGAGCTCCCATGTCAGAGCAGGAAGCTATCCAGTTAGTCACAGTCAGAGAAGCAGGACTACACTGGAAAAAAAGGCAAGGCTCCAGCATCTAGAAACAAAGGTGTTGATGGCAGCAGCACAGCTGATATTTCTCTCCAGATTAATTTATTGTGTGTATTATTGTTCATATTTAAATATGGTGGCGATCATGCTTTCCATGCTGGGTGTTGTAGAATAATACATTCCAGATGTGCATGTTAAGCTGCATCAGGGGGAAATGATGGGACTCTTTCTTCCTCAGATCTATATACCACACTACAGTGTCGCCGTCAAAGTCTATCCCCATCCCAACTAGTTTTCGGACGAGTGAGGAGGACCATCGCAACCAGTTTGGCCAGAGAGATCGTTCTTCCTCCGCCCCCAATGTCCATATCAACACCATTGAGCCTGTCAACATCGATGTGAGTCTGCTAGAAAAGCCCAACATTATGAAGGATTTCCAGCTTTCGATGCTATTCAGTGGAGGTGCAGTTTACAGCTTTTTATCTAGATCTAATTGGCCCTATGCAAGAAGCGTTCGTACGAATGAATTGGTTCTTAAATCGTTTATATTGGTGATTTAAGAGAAAATCTCATTCACACAATTTCTCTTATTTCTAATCTTTTATCAGCTACAAACTAATTCTCCAAGTTCTCCAGACTGACATCGTTCCATCAGTCAGCTATTATCCAAACCCAGTTTTTCACTAAATGACCACATTTGTTGTTACTTTGGAGCAATTATCTATTCTATTAAGCTGCAACATTCTATGTTATGCAGCTCTGCAATTTTTAAGGACATTTTATTGGCTGTTAAAGAAACTCTGGGTCACTCCACCTGCAGCTGGCATTGGGAGATCCAGGGTCTCTGGTTTCATTGGAAGTCATTTGGCCCATAGTAAGAACAGTCAGCGACTCTGTGAGACCAAGCTACTATTGATATAACATCTGGAACAGAAAGTTCTGCAGAGCTCCTAACGGTCAGACTTTCCTTCATTTCCCTCCCATGGCCCTGTCCTGGGTTTATCACACTAAATGGGGATGTTTGGGTCTGTCCGACTTTCTGCCTGAATTTCCAATTTGAACTTTTTAATATATTATGAGACGAAGAGATGGCAAACATCTGGATCAAATGTTTTTTTTCTTATGTCATTTTTACTTCTTTAACAGTCCAACCATTTTATTTTCAGCTCTTGTTATTTATTCTCTTAATTTCAATTCAATTTATTTCTATAGCGCCAATTCACAACATGTCATCTCAAGACACTTTACAGTTCACCAGATCATCCAGTCAAATTGATTAAAAGTTTTCTATCTGCATCGACTCATTGACTCTTCAGCAATCCCTCACACTAAGCATGCTTGTAGCGACAGTAGAGAGGAAAAACAGGAAGAAACCTCCAGCAGAACCAGGCTCGGTGTGAGCAGCCACAGTCAGAGAAACAGGACAACACTGGAAAAACAAGCCAAGATACAAAACCTATATAATCAAAGGTGTTAATGGCAGCAGCACAGCTGATATTTCTCTCCAGGCGGTGTCACAGCCAAACATAAAGGACCTGGAAAGTAACTTTACTTTACTAGTCCTCTAATTCTGCTGCTCATCTCTCAGTCAGCAGAAGCTCGATCTGCGAACCTTTAAAGTTTTTTTTTTTCATCTTCTAAGCATTTGTACGAATGAATAGCTGCATGTTCATTCATAGCCTAATATGGAATTAACTGGGTGGTCATTATGCAGATTTACATTTATCATCATTGTGTGGACTGTTGCACAGGTGGACTTTATCAGGTATATGAGGATAATTTCCGAATCATCTATTGGGATTGAGGAGGTTTGTTGAATCTGATGTGGTGCGTTTGTAAAAGCCCATCATTGGAGAAAAATGAATCAGGACCATTATCTGTAAAGCCTGCAAATACTAGCATTGATGGATAACAAGAGGCTTGTTTTTAAAACTGAGTGGATGAATTGATGATGGATGATTGTCCAAAATAAAATCCCTACAAGAGAACCAGTGTAGCTTGTGAAGTGATGAGCATGTTGATTGGCACTGATTATGCAAAAAAAAAAAAAAAAAAAAGAAACATAGAATATCAAATAAACATGTTCTTTAGGAAGTAAAGAACATTACAATTAAAAAACAAATGTTTGAAGCCATAGGATTAAAATTGTTATCCATTCTATGTGTTCAATCTTCCAGGTCATTATTAATAAGAACCTATAAAGCATTATTCTCTTAGAACACGACTGAATCAGCTAGAAAAGTAAGGCTGTTGAATGAACATGATGGCTAAAGATTCACATTAGTCAAACGAAGCTGCTGTGAATCACTCCTTATAATAGAAAGTGTTTTTAGATGTTTTCTGTTCTGTTTTCTCAGGACCTTATTCGGGATCAGGGCTTGCAGAGGTCAGAGGGAGGTAAGAACCAGAGGAAGGAAAGTTCAATGATTGTCTGTTACACACAGAAACTTGAGTATTTTATTTGATTTTTTTAAGCTTCATGCTTTATTAAAACATACAAAAGAGTATTAGGACCAGAGATTTTATTAGATTTTTTTGTGTCAAATATTATAATTTATGCATGTAATGACTTCATTCCAATAATGTGACTTTATCCTCATAATTTTATGATTTTATTCCGATAATGTTGTAACCTATTCTGGTAATGTTACGACTTCATTCTTATAATATTACCACTTTATAATGTTGCAATATTATTTTCATAATACTAGCCTTGCCCTAACAGTTTGTCGTAAAAACACCGTCAGAGATATAAATAGTTCTGGACTATATTATGTGGAGGTCATTGAAATGGTTCAATAGGTTTAGAAATCATAACTCAGTGGTTTCTAACAGTGTCCAAAGAACTTTTATTATCCGTCTCAATAAAGATGGGCTTTGTGGGCTCCGCGTTAGTATACACTGATTTATTTACTTTCTCTATATATGAGGATTATTCTGTAAGTTTGTAAAATGCGCTCTGTAGGTACCAGATCTGCTCGGGGCCCCGCTGCTTCTGATTGTGTCCTCATATGGCAACGCCATTCAGACAGACTGTATTTCCATTATGGGGTCTCAACATTATGGGGTCTCAACATATCATTACCAATATTTGCTATTATTTTATGTTTCTTTGGAAATCGTAAATTGGTTGAATGTGGAAAACAATCATTCGAAAAAGAAAGAGTTCTAAGTCTGAGCTCTGCCATTTAACAAGATGACACAAAAAGACTCAGATCTTCTTTTTATTCTTTTTATTAAGATCTGAGAACAAATAGAAGATCTTGAAAATGACTTTAGTGAAGATTTTAGAGAAAAACAACAGTTATTCTACTTGTAGAAAACAAACAGCTGTTGTTGAGAGGAAGTTGAAAGTAGTCCGGCGTCATTCAGGAGATGGGTATAACCCAAATTGGAAATAGAATAAAATAAAATAATAATAAAAATAATAATAAATAAATAAATAAATAAAAGAAGATAGAAACCTAAATAAATAAAAAAGGGGGATGGCTTTAAGCTTGAAGTTTAATGTGTTTTAACAAGTAATTAAGTTCACCACGAAGTTTAGAAATGGTTTCCAAGTTGAATTAAATTTGAATATAGAGCCTCTCACAGTGTATCTAATCTTTTCTAGTTCTAATGACTGCATAGCCTCTTTATTCCAATGAGCATAAGTCGGACGGGACGCCTCCTTCCATTTGAACAGTATTAACACCCTTGCTATTAAGGTAGGGTATGCCACCACATGTGTCTGAGTGGCAGGTAGATGTCATCGTTCTGCCAGCTAGAACGATGCCAAAGATTGCAGTCAGAGGAAAAGGTTCTAGATGGTATTGGAGGATAGTGGCTAGAGCATCTAATATAGATTTCCAGAAATGGGTGAGTTTCAGGCAGGCCCAGAACAGTCCAGTTCAGGAGAAATCTTAGCCAGTTTCTCTTTAGAGTATTGAAGCGATGAACCACTTTAGATTGAATAACTCTGTGTCTCACGCATATCTGAAGCTCTTCAGCCATTTTTATGTTACATCCCTGAGTCAAACCATGCAGATATGAAGACAAAGACATTCCATAAATAAATTTTCATCTGTCTAGTGAATGTTTAGAGTGTTGGTCAGCTAACAGCTTTAGTAAATGAATGGACACGCTAGGCTAGCATCTCAACACCGTCATCCTCTCAAGCTTTGAACATTTTGCAGAGACTTGTCCTTTTCCAGCGCTCCTCACCCTTTTTTCTGTTCCTCTCCAGGCTCGACCACTGGGCTGTCTGCCACACCTCCAGCATCTCTTCCCGGCTCTCTGACCAACGTTAAAGCCCCACAGAAGTCACCGTGCCAACAAAGGGAGCGGAAATCTTCCTCGTCATCTGAGGATCGTAATAAAATGGTGAGTCTGTTGGAGATGCTCGCATGGCACTGCAGAGAAATTGTGTGATTTTGCTGATCCCGTGTCCTGTGGAACAGAAAACTTTGGGAAGGAGGGACTCCAGTGACGATTGGGAAATTCCCGAGGGTCAGATCACCCTGGGTCAGAGGATAGGCTCCGGGTCCTTTGGAACGGTCTTTAAAGGAAAGTGGCATGGTAAGATCCTACCCCAAGTTTGGGGTTTAACTAGTTTGAAAAAAAAACCAACTGATTATCAGTTGATAAGTGAATGTCAGAGTTCAACCAAAGCACTGAGCAGGATCTGCTCTGCCTTTTGCTCTTCTCTACCTTTGCGTAAATGCGAAAGTTATCTGACTAAAGAAACCAGACACCAAGAGGTGAATATTTGAAAGTATGTCATAAAACATCCAGACTCAGCAGCAGAGGGCGTATCCTTTTTATGAGAATTACGGTCATATTTTTATATTATAAATAAAGTAATAGCCAGTACAGCCACCCAGACGTCTCTGGGTATAAAGTGGTTGTTTGCTTCCTGTTGGAGGAAAAGTCCGGTCAGCAAGGAATAATCAATGGATCATTATTTATACCTAAAACTAATATGTTAAGCTAATATTTAATGAATTCAGCGTTAATCAGTAAAAACATAAAAATCCATCATTTTTGTCGCAATCACTGAGTCTGGGAGCGGCCATTTTTGCCCATATATAGTAACCCCTCTATCCTGAAGTCTAGCGCCATTCGCAGGCATGGATGGACTGGGAATCCAGGGCTGTTGGCCAGCCTCATTCATTACTCAGGTTAATCATCTCGTTATCTCAAGAAATCAATAACCGTTTTCTCCTGATAATGAGATAATTATCCCGTTATCAGGAGAAAACAATGGTTTAACCATGATAATGAGATACTAATTATGATTATTAGGTGTGGGAAGGAGGATTTTAAATTCTCTCCTGGATTTAACAGGAAGCTAAAATTTGAGAAATAAAATCTTTCCTTTTCCTCAGAACTGCTGCAGTGTTTTTGGTTTAGCTTTTAACTGCTTTGCTGTTAAATGACGGCCTTCTCTTGTAATGGATTTTATCTTTAGGAACTGTTTTGATTCTACCATAGCAGCTCATTAGAAGTTATTTACTCTGTGACTGATGCCTCTTCCCTTTCCTCCCAGGTGATGTGGCTGTGAAGATGCTGAACGTCACCGCTCCCACTCCACAGCAGCTTCAGGCCTTTAAAAACGAAGTGGGAGTCCTCAGGTAACTCTGCTCCTTCTGATAAGTCAAATTATTTGGTTAGACGTTGCATTCAAATGCAAAACTAAAAACTATAGTTAAAAATAGGAAATAATCTTCACTTTATCTGTATAACCACAACATTTAAAATAACGTCTTTTTTATTTCAGCGTTTTAAGAGGCTAGAAAAAAGACCTTTCTGTTTTGGGACATATATTAGAGCCAGCTTGGTTTATTAGGGCCAGCTGTGAAGCTGATTTATTGACTGTTAGGCCTTGTCGTTTGAAAAAGCGATCCCATGTAAGAGAAACAGGAAGAGATGGAGGGAAATCAGACGCTTTTTATCTCTTTATGTTTCAATGTATTTTAGGTGCTCTAATATGATGTTGTCGTGTTCAGAGGTTTTGCAGGCATTTTCTAAACTTGGCAATTTTCTGAAATGTACAACTTTTTTCTTTATAATTCCCAGCCCATAAAGATCAATGCTAATAGTTTGGAGATGCTCTGATAATGCTCTAATTTTGGGGCGATATTTCGACTTTTGTTTTTGTAATTTGAGGACTTTTTTTTCTATTCTGCAATTTTTTATTTTTTTTTTACTATGCACAATTTTTAATTTTGCATTGTATTTAGTATTGTTTTTTTTTTTTGTTTCCTGTCTGGTTGCTGGGGTCCTGTTAAAGGTCTAATACTGACACCAAAGACTAATAATGTGGCAGAAAACCTTTAAGCTGGTTAAAATAAAATGTTTTAAATTTTAAACCCAAAGTTTGAGTATGTCTAAGCATTTAGCAGACGTCTGTGACCAAAGCGACTTACAAGGTAGACACAATGTTACAATGAGGAAGGCATTAGCGTGAAGGATCTTCTCTAAGGACCCACCCTGGCAGCCCAGCGGGGACCAACCAGGCCCTCCTGTGTTGAGCTCTAACTCTATAGCTAGCCAGGGGCTAGCCAACAATATCACTGTAATTGTATACACTCTATTGTTTTTGAAGGTAACTAAATATATTGTGATATATATCATGATTATAGCCCAACTATATTGTGGTATTAGATTTTCTTCATATCGCCCAGCCTTCTCACTCACCCAAATAAAAGGTCAACGTGTTAACAAGGCGTCGGATAATCTCACTTCCACAAAAACAACCCACCCCCCCCAAAAAAATGATCCATTTACAGCTTGACTATGTTTTGATTCATCAGGAAAACGCGTCACGTCAACATCCTGCTGTTCATGGGCTACACCACCAAGCCCCAGCTGGCCATTGTGACCCAGTGGTGCGAAGGCTCCAGCCTCTACCACCACCTGCACATCATCGAGACCAAGTTTGAGATGATCAAGCTGATCGACATCGCCCGGCAGACGGCTCAGGGCATGGAGTGAGTACCCCACCCCCCAAATGCACGTGCTCACATTTCACCAGCAGGGTAAACTACATGCATTCTGTCTCCCCTTAGTTACCTGCACGCCAAGTCCATCATTCACAGAGACCTGAAGAGCAACAGTATCCTTGTTAGCTTCCGCTTTACTAATAATCTTTATAGATCTAAAAATACTAAAATATCTGTATTCTTTGGGGGAAGAAACTCTTTCCTTGACGTTGTGTCCAAGATATTTTCCTCCATGAGGATCTGACTGTAAAGATTGGTGACTTTGGTCTAGCCACAGTCAAGTCTCGCTGGAGTGGCTCCCACCAGTTTGAGCAGCTCTCTGGTTCCATACTTTGGATGGTGAGTGTTTGAAATGACCAATGAAGGCATTTTTAGTGGACTCTAGTTTCTGATCAGGTGAAGAATGATGTGTCGGTTTGATATCACCAGGCTCCAGAGGTCATCAGGTTGCAGGACAAGAATCCCTACAGCTTCCAGTCGGATGTGTACGCCTTTGGCATTGTGCTCTATGAGCTCATGTCAGGAGCTCTCCCTTATTCCAACATCAACAACAGAGACCAGGTAACGCTTCATTGCAACTGCAAGAACTGTAAAGGCCACAAAAACTGGATCATCGTTTTTACGGCATTATAAAGGATTGTGTAATAAAACTGTAACCACGTAGTCAATAAGTTTATCTTAGTACTAATGAATCAGGAGAAAGAAACGCTAATTGTTCCTATTTACTTACGTTACAGCATGGAGGGAAACATCGCTAAAACCATCGTAATGTTCAAAGCCATTCCTCCTATGTAACCCCTTAGCTCCCCCCATCCGGCCCCGGGTCGTTTCTATGTCACATTTTGTTCCACGTCGAACAGGAAGCAAATCTGTAAACAAACCCAACATATTGTAGCTCTTTAGAATCTCGACTTGATTATAAGTCAATAAAAACTCAGATAACCGATGATCTGTAATCATATTGGAACTCGTTATTTTCACAACTTGTTTTCTTCTTCAGGCATATCGTGGCATATATGGCGTAATGATTGGGCCATTGGTTTAAGCGTGCAGGCACCAATCTGTGCGCGTGATGGGTCAGGTATTCACAATTTAAACATAAAACGTGCGCACACAAAACCTGTCTGATACACTCTCGACCCACTGTCCTCTCGCTCGGCCCTCTGTCCTCGCGCTCGGCCCACTAAGCTCGGCCCGAATTAATCACACCCAAATAAAGGTGTATATAAATAAACACCTTTATTTGGGTGTGATTAATTATTTCACAGTCCTAATTTATTTATATTTACATACATAATTTTATAATATGAATATTATTGTTATAATAAAATATGAGATACTGACAAAAAAGGAATATTGAATGGCAAC